AAAGAGGAGGGTACTTGTAGCGTCTTTTGAAGGCAAGGTTTTGTAAGTTTCGCAACGTCGAGAGCCCTTAGCTAACGATAAATGAAGGAGAAGTAAGTAATTAAAGTATTAAGGTCCTATCGTAGGGTATTTAACCCGGCGGAATAATAATAAACTTTTCGTGCGTAGAAGAACAGTTAGTTGGAATGCTGTTAACAGCATTCCCACTAAATAAATTATAAAGATACTCAAAATAAATGTAACTGGTATAAATAAGGTTTAAAGAGGCACTATTATGCTTTTTTCCCCTTCTGTTTTTCCTTTCCTGTAGTGTGTTGTGTATGTTTGTGGTCTGCAAAGGCTAAAATCCCAAAGCCCCCTACAGAGGGAGTTTCTTCCCCCCTCTTCTGATGAATCATCCTTAACATCAAAGACCCATTTCAAAGATTTCTCTTACGTTTGCAGAACGGCTGTCGCCCGGACCAGGTCCCGTTGGGGAAGCAGATCCTCTCTGCAGACCCGTAGAGTGTATGTCCCACGGCACAGGTGAAGCGCACCTTGCTGCGCACTTTGAAATTTCCTGCCTCTCTGCTGGCATGGGCAGGCGTGCCAGGATCCCCACAGGCGCCTGCTGAGTCGCCTGCAATGGGAGATAACCAAACAAAGAGCAATGAAAGCGAGAGACTGAAGATGCCATCCACTCTAGCTGTCTATGTGAGTCCAAAGATTGGCCCTTTTTAAGTTGCTATAGCATTGAATTACAACGCAGTGTTCCTGTCAAGGAGAGGAACACTACAGAGGACTTGAACTAAAACTGTACATCTTTTGAGACCTACAGGAAGCAGCTATAAAAAACACACAATGTACCAATGAGCAGTTGTTACTGTGCCAACAACCTGGAGGAACAATACATTTCACTGCTTTGACACCAGGAGCTTTCTGTCCATAAAAACAGCAGGGCCAGCATTCAAAGGCAACCAGCTGTGGTTATGAGAAATGATGAACACAGTTTGACCTCTGAGGCCAAATGCTTTTTCATTATCCTGAATCATCTCTCCTGTATTTGTTCAGAGAGGGAACATACAGAACTTAAAGTGTCTTTCACATCTATACATTTACACACAAAAAAGATGCTGTATCTCTTGTAAAGTTATTTACTCATGTCCCCGTTAGTGCCATCACCGATCAGTCAAAGAAGTTGGGATATATTCTTTATTTGAGCAAAAGGAAAGGAGAAAGAAGGCAATTATGGAGTCAGAGTGATGCCTAAACTACCGACAGTTTTATGCCATTTCCATTGTATATCAAAGACTAATGGAGTGATCCCCATTTGTTCCTATGCCACTATTTAAGCCCTTGAAACTAAATTACATCCATAACTAAATGTGTTATGATAAATAATGTTGAAAACCTGAATACTACTGTGCATTTACAGATTTGTGGAGCAATGTCCGCATGTCAAGCCCAGTTATTCAGCAACAGCCTGCCGTCTCTTTTCCAAGAATCTAGCCCACGACATTATCTTTTTTAATTGATGGGCCCCGAGCACACACACACACTTGTTCAGTCGCATTCCTCGACACACACAGGGACAAGCATTTGAATAGGGGAGACATTGCTATTAAATATAGAGTATATACACATTTATTTATTTTCTTCCATGAAATAGAATATTCATACTGAAGACATTTTTATCCACTTAGTTTTAACTTTATTGCCTGCAAAAGATGTAAAGCTCTAAAACTTCTGAAGAGATCAAATTTCCAAATGGCAATCTTAAGTAACCACTATTGGAAAATATGAACATATAAAGGATCGACAAACCCTTAACAACAGTCTCTAAAGGTGAATATTGGTTTTTGGTTTTGCATTACTGGTGACACCCTCAAATCAAATGGATTGGCACATAACAACCATTGCCACTTCTACCACTGCTTCCACTCTCTCACAGAAATGAAACGGAAGAAAGAGAAACATTTTTGGCATCAGAAGACAGAGTATCAAAGGAAAACCGATAGACAGAAGATAGAAAGACAAAACAGAAATGAAGATAGGCAGACAGAGGGATCACTGAGGCCGTCTGTACAGTTCTGTATGTGAAGGATCTCTGCATTGTTGGCGGAGAGATCCTATTCCTTGAGTTGTGCACACACCCCTGCATCATTTCTTGCCGCTCTCAGTCTATAGAGAGCTTCAGTAATACTGAACTTGTTGACAAAGCCTTACTGCACAAACACAGAGCCCGTATCTCATACAGTACACGCATCCCACTGCTCTCATGTGCACAAACTGGATTTGTCAGGTCAGGAGCTCGCAGCTAGAGATGATTAGTTTGTGTGTGGCTGTGTTTAGCAATCAATGTGTGTGCGCAACTACGTGTAATGTTGCCTACCTTTGTGCTGCACATTTCTGAGTGTCTGTAAGAGAATGTGCTTGAGGAATGTGAGAGCCCGTCGCTCGGTTCATGTACTTGCAAATACTTGTCTGTGCAAGTGCATGTTTAGTTTGCATCTGTTGCCTTCGTATGTGTACGCATGTCCACTTGTGAGTGCATACTGTATACTGTATGTGTGTGTATGCGTCACAGCAGCTGTCGGTACTTCATTAGTCTCCTTCAGTTAGGTAAGGCAGCCCGGCTCGGCATGCGATGTGACAGCTATAATCTCTCTAATTGGGATGGTGGTGAATTTGGTTTGAATTTCAGTTAATGTCCGTTCACCAGGCTGCCTTTGTGAGGAAATAATAAGGCTTTCAAATCAGCCATGCAACGGACGAGCACAAAGGGGGAATGGCTTCGCAAGCATTTTTAAGCCCCCTCTTACCAATTAAGGAAGGAGGACAGATGAGAGGAAGGATAGATGCATGGATGGTTAGAACTGTTGCTGATGCTGGGCTTGACTTCTGAGGAATCCGTAGCCCAAATGATTGTGTTGCTATTGGTGATGAACACTTACTGAGAATACAAATGTAGCATTTAAATATTTGTCTTATCCTGTTGATAAGGCTGTATATAGACTGCGTAGCAACCTTTCTGCAAATAAACTTGACTATACAAGCATTTAAGAACACATTAACACTTAGAGCGTCCTTTTCCTTATTGTGCTAACACGAGAGTTCTAATTTCATCATCGCAGAAGTTTGTGCTAATGTGATTGTGAAATCTAGGTGTTAACATATACATCACACTTATTTAAAACTCTCCAGGCATTTGCTGCAGCAATACTTTTGTTCCTGCAAGCAAAAAACGAACTTGTGTGTTGTGCTTCCAGTTTCTGGTACAGCTGAAACATATACTGTATTTACTGCAATGAATGTGAATTAGTCAAGCCTCAAACTGATGAAGTGATCCAAGTAGGTTTCATAATTCTATAAAATGCAGATTGTTTGGCTTATCCGGAGCAATGATAGAGTACAATCATGTGTCGCAATTTGAGAACAATGCATTTTTACCCTAAGTGTCTACTCAAATGTACTTTATAATGGATTTACCATCACATATATCCTACAACAATATCAATATTATATTACACTGTGTAACAAACATACTAACTTCTTTAATTATGTACTTTATCTGCAATTGATATGTTCATAACATCACTGATCAGTCTTGATTCCTTAAAACTGCCTGTTATTGTTTAAAACAATCAGAAGGACAGGATTACAGAAGTTGTATTTTTGTGATCGGGTTGGATGTAAAAAAGGCTAAGTACAGTCTTCCATAGGTTATCTCAGAACATCTTCTTCCTTTAGCTTGGTAAGTCACTGCGTCATTATAATGATACATCTTATGGTCACTGGCCCAAGACTCTTTCTGCAGCAAACATTCCTCCACAGGGGTTTACTACTAAACAGTCTTTGACAATTTAAATACTCGGGAACAGATTGATGTTGGCTTTACTGATCCAACGTTTCAAGTGATAAGTAGATGCTGATTAGGGTTTGGAACTTACATTTAACGCACTGAATCTAGTTTGCTCATGTTGAAGAGTTTTTTGGCTGGATTTCCGCAGACAAGCAGAGGTCATGTTGATAATACAGCTTGCACTGAGAGATGAAATACATTATAATACAAAATTGAAAATGATCACTTTGCAACATGCTAGTTTGTCATAACAGCGGGGCACTGATCCAATCTTCTCATAAGAGATGAGAAATAGCTTTTAGAGACTTGGCTGAAGAAACATATACTTTGCAACCCTCATTATTTTCACCATAAGCATTATAATGACATGCTTTATTAGTTTCTAGAGCTATAATTTCAGGACTAAAACCCACTATTAGGCTGTACACTGCAGATAATTAGGCAGGCAAGAAATATTCACCAAAACCTCTCGCTGTAACTATTTCTATCTTTTACAACGTTTCCGACTGCTCTGAATTGAGCCTCTGCAATCATGCGCACCACCTTAATCTCCAAGGAGTCTTGCTTTACTCCTTCCTTACAACTTTCCAACTGTCTCAGGAAATACAAAATATTGAAGGTGAGTAGAGATGCAGCCCTTTTAAAGTAAAAAACACTGTCATACAAGTCTGCTTACAAACATAACTTCTGGGTCAGTGAGTTGAACAAACCAAGCGAACATTCAGTAAAGTGAATCCACTTAAATGGTCAGGATTGCTTAAGTGTGATGAGAGGGAAGAGAACAGAGGGGATTAAGGAGGGAAGTTAGTATTTCTGCAGAGAAGATTCTGCAACTAAATGTACTACACGTAAATACCGGGCGCAAAATAACTCTGTTTAAACTTTTAGTTGCTCAAGTCTGCATTTAGGTTATATCTCTCACTATTTGTTTATGCAGGAATAAACATTTGTTTACACATAATGTTGGGCTGAGGTATCAATTCATAACTATTTTTGAATAGTTAGGATGGGTTTTGGGATGTTTGGTAGTGTGTACTTTTTCTACAATTCATCAGCCAAATGCAGAAAAGTGAAATGCTGGAAATGTTGTTGTAGATGCATTTCTGGACAATAATTCTTAATTTATTTGGCTTGAAGGTACAATTTACAAAAACTATTCTCTAAGAGCTCCAGTTTGAGGGCAGTACATTGGCTTAGTTGGCTGAATACTATCCTCTGCTAGTTTGCTCTGAACTCCACACAGACTCTAACCAAATATCCCAGGATGCCAGGACTCCAAAGCACTTTGCCATGGTGGCGTGGGGTTTACTATCTAGGCATACAGTTTTGTTTTGTTTTCAGATTTATTTAAAACAATATTCCTGGCACTAATACAGCTCTGGCTCTAAAACAATGAATATCAATTGAATTTTGGTTATGGTACTTGCAGCATTGAGAAATGACTTTTTAACAATTCAACAGCAACTTGTCTCTCCAGAATGCGTGTCCTGATTAGACCGTCTCATCCACAGAGTTCTGTTAACATAACTTCTTTATATCACACAAAAAAGTCCTCATGAAAACTGTTGCAGTTTGTAATTATTTGGGGTATTGTTTCTGAGAAAAAATGATTTTGTGGCTCCTTAACAATTCCATTAAACTCTAAGACATTGGGGGTGATGAAAGTAATCTCAGACAAAGATATCTCAAAGCCTGGGCAAATAGAAGTAGAACTATCTGTGTGGCTTGATATCACTAGAGGTAGGTGAGAAAATAGGTTTTAATGTGGTTGGGTACACACAACTCGACATTCATTTGGAGAACCTCTGTGAGGCAAACACAGACTGCGTTCAGATGAAAGGATACAAACCTTATATAATTCAGATATTCATTTTATAAGGAAGAGTTAAAGAGGGAGACCTATGTTTTGTTGTGTGAATGTGTGCAGGAATGCTTGTCTATGTGCATGACTATAGTTGTGTGTGTGTGTACCTGAGCAGTGGGGCAGGGGACCGCTCCAGTGTCCGTTCAGCTGACAGGTGAGGGATGAGTCTCCTATGAGCAGGCGCTCGCCAGAGCAGGAGTAGCGCACCATGGAGCCAAAGGTAAACTTCTCGCCGCTCATCACTCCGTGGGGGGGTGCACCTGGGTGGTTGCAGTCCACCTCTGCATGAGAGAGTGAGGAGAGGAGATCAGATTATCGATGGATAAGTGAATGGATTATTGTTGCGTGACTCTATGGCTTGATGCTTCACCAAAAAACCTAAACTAAAAACCACTCCTGTAACATGTAAGTTAAATCTACAATATTGGAAGCTTAGAGAAGCATGTGTTGAAAAATACTTGAAACGGACATTTTAAAATAAAAAGATAACTTGAAGTAATATTGTTTTTTACTTAATAAATTGCCTAATGGATTTTTTCAGGAATAAATTCATATAGAAAATTGCTTTCTGTACTTCTTGATTATTCTTCTGAACTTTGCATGTTTGTGGGTGTTCTCAGTCACCTTAGTCTCATAATGCAAAGGAAGTTTCTATAATGTTGTACTAATTTCTTAACAAAGAGTCAGTGGCGCCTGGGGAGGTGAATAAACATTTGAGACAGACACTCCTGTGTCTCTTTTTAATTGCAATTTTGTTTGATAAAGTAAATACTGTGCGTCATCTCTCTTCCATGAAATGAATTTGCTTTCTGAGCCTGCATGCAAAGTGTTGCCCTTTACTTTAGATCACTTCCATTAGAAATAGGTAATTAATGTTGCCGGCTTTGTCCAAAAGAAGAGCCCACAATGGACCAGATATTTGAGAGCGACATTACAACCTCTGATAACCCCTACAATTTATTGATGGTTGTTGTTTTAGTTTAGGATCATGGTTTTTAGAGAATATTTGCTATTGCCTGAAAAACTGGCCCAATGTCAGTTTCCCCCATTTCTCAATTAAGCACAGTGTGACAGAAGCATAAGCCATTGGGGCATCAAACATTACACAGATGCTCTCACCCACAGCATTTAGCTTGTACCCTTCAAACTCCACAGCAAACAAGGACACAAACAAGGTTGTAGACTCTCAAACGAGAGAGTAACTTCTCTTACTTTTTGTATTTGCACCCCCTTTAAAGTGCATGACATAATAACATAACAGTGCACAGGAAAAGGAAAGATAAACACTGTTGATAACATCATTTGCCAGTTCAGTGCTTAGGAAATATTTAAGTAGTCACTGTACCGATACATTCTGGTAGAGGTTTGTCCCAGTGGCCCACCGGCAGGCAGGTGAGCACCGATGATCCGAACAGGTAATATCCTGGGTTACAGTCGTAGAACACCACGCTGCCAAAGGTAAAGTTACCGTGCTCAATCTTACTCTCCCGGATAGAGTTGGCAGGGATACCTGGATCTGTGCAGTTTACCACTGAACGAAAGATACAACAAAATACAGTTAAGCCATCATGAGTCATATAATTAGTGAATGTCATTATGGGAGAATACAGACATCAGAATACTGACAGCAGTCAAATTGTTTTTTATAACTGCAAAGATATTTCAGGCTAGACAGAGGCAGACGTTTCTAACATAGTTTCCGGAAAATTACTGTTAGAATGGCATAGCATGATTACTTGAGAACTCAATGATGAAAAAAGGTCTTTATTCCTGTAGCTCTGATGGAGTCTGGAAGTCTATTCGTGGATTCAGTATCATTTATTCATCTTTTATTAATAAGCTTGCGGTTTTATTGTAATAATGTTTAGTAGAACAGTTTCTGGCACATTTCATACATATCAATTAGGTATGGTGTTTATTGATAATTGAATTGAATCATCTATATACATTAATGTATGGTAAAATAAAATATATTGAGCCAAAGTGAATATTCACTTCTTGGCAATATTCATCTAATGAATAATGTGTGTACAATCAACTTTGTGAATGAGGTTTTAATGCACTTATGTTCATGTTGCAGACATAACCACTGCACAGAAGCAGATTAAATATAGCAAAAATAACATTTGACTAAACGCTGTTACTATATACTATTACATTTTCTTTGACTTAACTGTAAAGGGTTTGTCATACTGTAGTATTCAGATGATTTTTGTGCAATTTGCCTATGCCTATATAATATCTATAGTCAATCACATATACTGTACGCTTCAAGTTAACAGTATCTAGGCAAAATATATTCTGTCATTATAATTATACCCCAACATGGCATATACTGCACTGAAAACATAACACATACTGGCACAGTCATGTGTCCTTCTGCCTAATTAACTACCACCAGCACCATTGTTGTGGGTTGGTTCCTCATTTGCATAAATGCTATCTGTAGGCATGTTTATTCTCGAGTTAAATATAGAACTGTTTATATGCTCTCTCTGTTTATAAACATGGAGACGAGTGAGTCCAGGCTATTTTTAAGTGTTTTCACTTTTCAGTTATGATACCTAACACTTCCTCCTTAAAACAAAAGAACAAAGGCACATCTATTGTTACACATTCACAAGCATCCATTTAAAGGGAGCAGTAGATGACTCTAAAACCATACTGCTGACAGAGTGGTTTAGACAGCTAAAAGTAGATTAGGGTGAAATTAAGTTCAGAGCAACATCAAGTTAAATCAATAATGCAAATGTGTGGAAAAAGCTGGCATACAGTGAGAAATTGTTATTGGGAACAAACACATGTTTTGAAAAAAGGGAGTCATGACAGTTTAATACAATTTTACTCATCTGATGTTTTACCAGGTCTGTCTCTACAGGGCTATTCACAGTAATGAAAACTGTGTCTCTCTCTTCACATCCAACTGCCAAAAAAACCTCATGCCAAGAGGAGAGGTATCTTTAAATGGGCAAAGTCTGGCAAATCTAGCCTTGGCAGACTAGATCCAGAGGTAGCAGACCAATTAAAGCCACAATGGATCTCTCTTAAAGGCACTTCTTTAATTGCATTTCAATTATTGCTTCTTTGTCTGTTACCTTGTGTTATATCATTTCCAAGTGACATGCACCTACAGTACATTACCACATCTTAGCACTGCAATACAGTACATATCTGTCCAAAGCTGGAGACTTTTTCAAAGGCATATATGAAGGTATTTTTTAATCATTTATATTTTAAATAGCTTCCATCATACTATCGATATACCTCTTTTGTCATTTTATTATGGGGAATATAATGTAAATTAATAGTAGAAAATACAGCAACATATTGTCAAACTGTCAAAACAATATTTGGCAAACAAGTACACTTTCCTCTCGTGTGGTCTCACAGAAAAATATGTGGACAATGGTTGATTGTAAACACAGCACTAATGAGGACTACCTGGGCACACTACAATTGGACACAACTGAAACACAGCCGCCAACCGACAGTCCTAATAAGATGGCTTCCACTAAATGTACTGTGAGCTTTCTTGCCTTCAAAGTAATTTCTCCTTGCAGCAAGCCTCTTGGTAAAAAAAAATAGCAGAGAAAATGTAGAAACAATTCCCAATTTACTCTTCCCTTTCGATATATTTTGCTGCAAGCTCGTTATAGCTGTCTTTCTGCTTTCGCTCTGAGGAAAGGGTTCCAGATGTTGCTACCTAATGCTGTACTCTGAAAACTGGAAAAGAGGGATTTTTTTCATTTAAATCAATAGATATGTGGACACAATTTCTATCAATTCTGCTTCTGTGTCTATGCCTGCGCATGCTGGCAGATACAGGCTGCTGATTCCTGAATGATCATGATACATCTGCTGGCTGCTGGATTCTTGTGGTCATCCTAGCCTCTGATTCCTGAAGCATCACAAAGCACCTGCAAAAGCCATTTCATTCAGTTCCAAGGCTGGATCCTACTCCCGCTCGCTGGCAGCTTCCTGCTCCACTGAGGACTAGCCTGATCACAGGAGCAGAATTAGACAGAAGTGGCTTCTGTCACCAAACATTACTCTGCTTTAGTGATAATCAGAGGTATCAGAGAGGGATCATTGCTGAAAGTTAGCGGTGTGCATAATAATATGATGCTGGTTCCAAATTCTTGCAGTCAATTTAGCCTTTTTATTTTTGGATTCTTGTCTGTCTTGCCTCCTGAGGCAATGTCTGCAGATTGAGCCTCAGCTGAACATGCTGGCAGAGAAAAGCATCTTTTTAGTTCAACCGTCAGGATACATCTGCATCTTTCTAATACTTTAAGTCAATCCAGATGCCAATCATGTATCTAATCTGCAGGGGCACTGTGGCTGGAGTTTACCTCGGCATGTTGGTGGCTGCCGGCTCCACTGGCGGCTGGCCTGGCACTGAGCGGTGGAGGGCCCTTCAAGGGTGTAGCCTTTGTTGCAGGAGAAGCGCACCACATCGTTGTAGTTGAAGCCATCGCCCGTGGTGCGGCCATATATGGGACTACCGGGGTGGCCACATGTGACAGCTGAAGTTGACACGCATCACCCGGGGATGTGTCAAGAAAAATTATGTAGATAGGAGGATGAAAAATGAAAGGCAGCGAGGAATGGGTTCAGAGAAGAGGTAAAGGGAGGGGTGGAATATATAGAAAGTGTGTAAAGAGGGGGAGAATAAGGGAGGGACACAAAGTTCAATAATCATGATCGATAGGTGACATACAGTGACAACTATCATAGGAATATCATTACCATATCATTAACCTCAAAGAACAAGAGGGTAATTAAGAATCAAGACATGATTTGGATTGGGGGAAGGTAAATCCCATTGTGAAGATGTGTACCAACTATAGGCTTGAGCCCTTCTCAAACTAAAAGGTGCAGGAAACTTTGAGAATTGCAGGAAGCTTTTTAACATTGATTACACATTAGAATTATTTTAAACATTGCAATTAAACCCTCACATTTTGTAGTATCCCTTTCTTTATTGTGAATTCACATTTACATATTCAAAGCTCCCTTACATAATAAGCTAATTAAAATCCGGGAATGATAAAAGCAACACCCTCCATCAGCTATTTTGTATCTGAAGGGTAAGTTGGGAATCTCGGCTAAAATACAGTTTCCCAGGTGCGGTCAATCAGGCAGTGAGAATTGGTTTTAAAGTACTTACAGATACAAACTGGGAGCTGTCCAGACCAGCCATGTTCCTGCTGGCAGATCCGTACTGAGGAGCCAATGAGCCGGAATCCGGGGTTGCATTGGTAAACCACTGTGTCTCTATAACCAAAGTTTTCCCCAATCACCTGCCCATTTACAATCTGCTCTGGAACGCCACAGTGACCAGCTGCGGGGAAGAACATGCAGCATCGTAAACATTTGTTATTGCCTTTTTGCTTAATGATAACCCATCTAATATATTTCAACAAGATCACATTTGTTTTGGAAACGGAGACCAGGAAAAGAAAGTACACATACTGTAATGCCCGTGGTGTAAGGTATAAATAACACTCTGCTTTTTGAACAAGATTCAGTTGTTGCCTATGTGGGGATCTCTTTTTTGCACCAGATGAAATTTACTTTGCATCACAAATCACCAAGAGTAATCGTAGCTGATCAGTCCTGTGGTGCAATACTTAAGTTAAGCTTTCAAGTGTTATTCAAATAATAGCCTGCAGTGTGGTCCGCTGAACCGATGGAGGATAGTTGCAGGCTAGAAACACAATTTTAACTGCGTTAACATGTTTGAATAACTTTGCATTTTGACAACTGTATTATAAAATGAAATGAGGAACCGGGTAACTTAAAAGGTCTTGGAATTAAAATGCCAGCAAACAAAATTGATGAAACATATTGGATTTGGAAAGCATTTTTCAGCTCATTATCTCTGAATTATTTTTTCTAAAATTGTATTGGGTTTAGCTTCTCTGAAGTTTGATAACTCAGCTTTTCTCATCTACAGAAGAAAGAGACACACGTGAAACTCCCTGAAGAACGTAATCATATTACCTTCAGCTAAATAAATGCCTTTCAGAGAGAAGGATTCTTGCTGAGATTTCCACTGCCACTTAAAACCTGGGAAATTGCCACTGACTGTGAGCCTGATTTCCCTAATTCACTCGTGCACCAAGAAACTCAGCCGAGCATTTTATTATCACACTACACTTGAGAGCAGAGGGATTCTACGAAGATATTGCTGAAGTAGGCGACTGCAGTGTACCGGGAGGTCCCTGGCTAGGTTAACCCTGAATGTCATATTACTAAACAAGAGAGAGGTGCCCTTCTTTTAATGAACTGAGCCAATCTTGAGTGGAGTTTGCAGTGCAGAGTGCTGCCGCCACAGGGTTGATAAACGGACTACTGCATCTGCCAGGGAGACCATCGCATTCTGCTGCTGCGTGGGTTTGAATGCGGCCCAAGTAATTACCTAGGTCTCATTTTCTTCAACAGTACAGAGCTGAGATGAGCTGTGGTAAGCTTAGCTGTGGCATATGTGCTTGTTTATATATCTTAACAGCAGCTCAAAGTGTGGTACAGCTTGGCAAGAGTCTCGTAGTGTCAGGCCAGCTGTGGCTCCAAAGCTGCTCTCACGTTTAACATTTTAGAAACAGCAAATCGCACTCACTCGGAGGCTTTACTGTACAGCAATATGCTCCAATTAACTAAAGGTAGTGCCAATAAAAAGTATTTTTACCTTTTGATTTCTTGGTCTATAAAAAACCTGCTGTGTGCAAGTAAGTCTAAACTGGCAGCGTTTAGTACCGACGTGATTGTTGAAACAGACGACAACAAATGTTGAATCTTTCAGTTTATTGTACTATATACTATATACAATTGGCAACATAACTGATTGCAGCCACCCTCTGCTGGTTCTAGTCTGGGCATTCTGGCCCAACCAAAAATAATGCAGTTTGAAAACATCACAAGCTGTGTTTGACCCAGCTCAAGGCTTTCCTTTTTAAACATTAAGGTAACGTTAAGATCCTGCTTACCTAGGCAGTGAATCTGCATCCCACTCCAGAGACCGGAAAGGAGACACTCTCTAACCGTAGATCCAGTTAAAACATAGCCAACGTTACAGCTGAAAATAGCTGATGCTCCAAATGTATTTTGGGTCCCAATTTTCTTCCCATTAGGAGGAGTTGACAGATCTCCACAGGAAATGACTGCAGTAAGACAAACATTGTTGTAAATAAGAGGAGGAAGAAGATGGAGGAGGCACATAATGAAAGAACAAGACGCCAGAAAAATGAGGGAGAGAAAACAAGACAGAAAGGAGGAGATTGGAATTGGCTTACATCTTCAGAGTCAATGGGAGACACAGCCATTTACACCCATCTTACCGACCTCAATGCGGTAAAGGAGTGACCTGTACTTTTTCATGGGGAGGATAATGATGGTGTTTGTCCTTTGTACCAACATCTTTCATCAGGCAAGCTGGAACTTCCTTTTTCCATTACACAGGCTATTCAGCTCTTTTGCTACTCAAAATGCAGCTCCAATGGCAGCATAGAAGAACGTTTATTTCCAACTCCGGTAATAAACAATATCTAGCCTAGGCTCTAGGCTGAAAGGTGAACAGGTAAAAAAAACAAAAGGGCATAATTAAGTTGATCATTGCTGTGAATTAGCTTCTCTGCACGTGTGGTATGTCTTTTAATGTAGGATATATATAGGTTTTTTTATTGTGTTAAATACAAATCATCAAATCAGATTCATTCAATGTTATTCTATCTTTGCTCTGAAATTAATTAAACATATATACAGTTTAGGATTAAATCATGCACCGTGGTTTAATTTTTCATGATAAAGCTATGCAAAAAAATGGAAGTGAATGTGTATAGCCAAAAGTGTTCCTCTGATTGTATGTAGTGCTGAAACAGAAGTCACTCACTTCTACAACGAGGCCGCTCACTTCTCCAGCTCCAAACCCCATTGGCCAGGCACTGGATGTGGGCGGGGCCAACGCGGTAGAATCCTGGGTTGCAGGTGAAGATAATTTTAGTTCCGTACTCATAGTGCGAACCGTTGACGATCCTCCATTTGCCATGGTCCAGAGAGAAGGAGCTGAGACTAGGGCACATGATGACTGTGCCAAAAAAGGAGACACAAGAGAAGGGATGCGGAGGAGAGTGGACATTGTGAGTTAGGAATGTTCAGAATGAAATGACTTCTGTTTTAATGTTGTTTTGTATCCCCTGTACACACATTGCTAAGTCCAAACCTGTTAACAAAAAGAACAACCAAGCAGTGTTGAAGAAACAGAAATAGCATCTTAATCAGTAGAATGACTAATCCATGTCATGTAAATAGAAACTTCTGAATTTAATGTAATGTTCCAAAAGAAAGCTGTTTATAAACCGGCATTCGTTAAATCCAAATGAGTCTCAAACAAACTCTGCATCTTTTTTTGACTGTGAGAGACGTATACAGCAGGGAATACACATTGGTCTCAATAGTAAACAATGTTGTCAATCACTAGTTACACTGACTTTCAAACTTGGGGGAGTTGCATTGGCATGTAAAACATTCACTCCCTGCCAGCTACAGATTTCTTCCAAACTTTTTACCCTCACTTTCATCCATCCGTCTTATTAACACTACACAACAGTATCGAGCAGAGGCGCGGGAAGGTATTTTGAGTGGGGGTGCTGAGGTGCTGGACTCCAGTGAACACTATTACGGGCACTATAGAGCACGAACAAAAAAACTCCCGACACGCAAACACACAGTAAACCCGCGACTGTTACAATGAAGGCTCGATAATGAGCTCACGGCATATAGGCAGGGGTAAAGTGCTATCTTTTACGAGTGGGGAGCGGACCTCACCTTCTCTAGGGGGGTCCGGGGGGATGCTCCCCCGGGAAGATTTTTTTTAAATATTGAAGTTAAAAGCATCAATCTGGTGCACTTTGAGAGCAACATTAAGAGATCTATGGATACATCTCTCAACACCCAGATGAAACACAACTGTAAGCAGATGTTCTTTTTCTTTATGGATATTTTACAAATCACTCCTCTTTCAAACTGTATTCTTGTTTTACTGCCATATAGTATTTCATAACTGTTTTTCCTTTATTCTCTTATTTTTTTTATAACTATAATGATCATATGAAGGTGTGCCGCGGAAATAATCTTTTGAATAATTTTTGACCAAACCGTTTGAACACTCGGAGTCCTTTAGCTCACCTGAGCCCCTCAGTCTGGAGGACTCTCCTCCAGCTTGTTGTGGAAACAGCTCCTTAGGTCCGTTAGTGCAGCTAGCTAACCAGATGCTAACATCACGGTCCCCGTTAGCACCGGTCCCTCTCTCTCCCTCTCTCCCTATCACACTAAATGCGCTATTGCCCCACACACACACACACACACACACTGAATACACAACACAACTTTTATTTCCATGCAACCTCTGATTGGTCTGGTGTTTCCTCTGTTGCATTTCCGAACACGGAAATTGTACATTTCCTGCCGTCCTTCTGTGCTTGAAGAGGGTCACGTAAAGCACGGTTAATGTATTATATTAATGAGTAGAATTGTCCGGGGGGCTACAGAAAAACATTCGGGGGCAGGCCAAAATATTATTTTACCAACAATGTGGAATTTATTGGCTACATATTACACAAGATTATGCACAGCGGGAGCAGCAATAACCGTCCAAATAATAATTCAGACAGAGGAGCTCATGCACCCCCTGCCTGCTGCTAGGGGGTGCTGCAGGGCCCTCAGCACCCCCCTTCCGCGCCCATGGTATCGAGTTTTTCTGGGATGAAACCACAACGCGTGGTATGTTTTTGGTACTGCAGTCCATATTCCATGACAGCCCCACATTACAGTACGGTGTTTGTTGAACTCTGGTCTGACTGTTCAAAGGAAACGTCTTTCAAACTGGCTTTTTTTTTCAAACTCTATTTCGCTCCAACAAACTGTCAGTTTTCCAAACGCGGGGCTTTCTGCAATAACTCGTTTTCCTATCCTCACTCTGAACTTCATCTTCCATGGTCAACCGGAACGGATGGGTTCTGCGTTACCCCGCTCTCTAAATCACCCTCTCTCCTCCCCAACACCCCACACCAATGCATCGGGGATCTGTTTGTGTTGCTCCAGTGCCGTCTGGCTGGCAGACTGTGGTCGTCAGCTTCTTTTGGAGGAGAGCCGTGAGCCATGTGTTGCGAAGTTAGGTCACCCGCGTGGCGACAAGAGTAATCCGAGTAGCAACACCTCCGTTCACTGGCCGCCGGTGGTACGCCACAGGACACAGCTGCAAGGCGAGAGGAAGGTCTTGGAACGTGATGTGTTGCAAGAAACATCTCACATATACTGGAGATCTTTCAGAGGACCACCATTTTCTCCTTGACAGTCATGGTTGTTGGAAAATGTTAAAAACAATAAGGCTGATTAATTTAAATTTTAGTGGACACTATGCCGACTGACAATCTTAGGAAAACGTTTTTTACCCACCCACCAAATGCATTTACAATAATGATGCTGAGCGTTCTGAATCATGTCGACAATAAACCCAATTCCTTTAGCTTTAAGTGTCTTTTGAATATATATTTGTGTTATTTTTACTCTTTATAAGGCTCTTGTAACTCTTAATCGCTTATATAATGCTTCAGCCTCGTATATTCTCTGCCTTTTTTTGACAATGCATGAAACCAGGGATTCCCCCACCCAAAGGTATAAGAAATGAAAGCTCTGAGAACATTTTAGAAACCCAAAACACATATTCATTCCAGGAGTTGGCCTTCCAACTAGCTGTCACTTTCTATGTTTTATTCTGTGATCTTTTACCATGTTTCATTGTTATGCCCTTTCTGTATTTCATTGTTTGCTTTTATTCTGCAGTATTTGCCTGTCGTGTGTTTTTATTTTTATCTTGTTCCAATGGGGTTTCTAAACCACTCTCCCTTGTTTGAAAGGTGCATATGAATAATGTCAATTTTTTTAATCCAATACATGAGAAAAAACCAATAGAAAACATTTAATTAGAAAAACAAACAAACCCAACATTAGACACTAAACAGAATTCCTAAGGAGCCCTCGCACATTTGAATTACAGTACGGTTGACAGACCGATACACCTAAAGTATCAAAAACCTTCATGTGATAACTTATTCGCTAATGGTTGGTGGCAATTCACTCATTTATTTTATAAGAAATTAGCTCCCAAAGTTTTTTTTTAGGGACAGTACATTTAATTTACTTCTTGATTACATTTCAAATAGATATTTTATGCTATTATTCAGGGACTGAACATTGTGATAATCTCTTGGACAGTTTTTCATTCAGGAACTCTCAACTTATTGTTTTAGGATGCCATTATTTAAATACATTTAAGAGTGACCTTTGCACATATCAGTCAGATCAACGATATAGGTTACTTACGTAACCCCAGGTTCTCAGAGTAACATGAAGTGAGGATTTCTCACTATGGGATGCGGCCTCAACGTGTATGCAAAGAAGCATTCAATCTCAGTAACCTATAGTTCTCATTCATAACACTCCGTTCTACTATGGGATA